ACAGCAAGCTGCTTGGCCCTTTTCTTCCCTCGGTTCTGGCATCAACAAAGTTTCTTTTTCATCCTTGCAGCAACTTACTTCAACTTTGGGGGATTTACATTCTTCTTTATTCTGCTTCTTGTTACAGCATTTGTCAGTCTTGTTGGAACAGCAAGTTGCTTGGCCCTTTTGTTCACTCGCTTCGGTAACCAACATAGGTTCTCTTGTATCCTTGCAGCAGCTTTCTTCAGCATTGGTAGATACACATCCTTCTGTTTTTGTCTTTTTTTCACAGCATTTATCATTCTTGTCGGTACAGCAAGTTGCTCGGTTTTTTTCTTTTGACGACGTCTGAACTTTCCCCTTGTCAGATGAACAACAAGCCTTGGGTTCGGAGCAACAAGATTTATCTGTCGCCATTTCGTCTTTTCCCTTCCTTCCTTCCACGCCAGCAGGTTTACTAGGAGCGACTTGCTTACTTGAAGGACAACATTGCTGCCTTTCATAAGACATTATGGCTTCGCTCTCGTCACGAATGTTACTTTCTTTACAAGTATTACTGTCGTCTTCAAATTGTTCACCTTTACAACATGGAGTCATATTCGCACTTTCATCTTTTTTTCGGCAGGAATCAGCTCCCTCATCTAAAAATACAAGATACTTGGTTTTAGTAAGTTTGTTAGGTCTTTTGAAAGTAAGAGGCTATGTTTGGCTTTCATGCATTTGCAGGACCTCTCTGAAAAACGCCTTGTTGATGTGAGCCTCCTGCTTAAACTTTGTTGTTATTATTATTATTATTATTATTATTATCATTATTATTAATTGGCCTTTTCAAAAACGAGTGGGGGAATGGGTCGAGTATTGTCTCGCAAGGGTTTCTGGGATTGTTACTGGGGACGTGTGTGTTTGTGTACAAAGATTGATAGCAGGATGGCAAGGATTTTACAACCTAAAATTAAAGATTTTTCACCGAATAAAAAGAAGATGCCAGCATCAAAGTTACTGAAACCTATAGAGAAATTTAGCCTCCTCCTCATGCGTCTCTCGTCTTTCTTTCCTTTTTCGTTGAATTGGGATTCCTGTGTCGCGAATTGATATTCCTGTGTCGAAAGAGACTAGGCGAGAGAGAGGAAAGGGGAGACGCCTGCCAAAACCCGGTGCGTATGGAAATCACACTTCACCCAAGGGACATGTTACTTCAGCAGGAGTACCCACGGGACTTTTGTTATCAACATTTATCCATGTAGGGTAGACTGGGGATCGGTGTTGTTGTATGGAATGAACTTCGATCGGCCATGGCTGAAAAACGTAGATATGTCAAGACTGAAATTCCTGTTTGTAGCACGGAATACAAAAATGTTTTGAGAGCAGTTAAAGAAAAGCGATTAGAAGTAGAAGAAAAGGTCCCAGAGATAGAAGCGTTGAAGCATCAGTTCGAGAGTCTTCACGTAACGACGAGATCTAATAAAGACACAGGAAGCCCAATACTCAAAAGGAGAGAAGAGAGATGCATGCGGAGGAGGCTAGTTTTGTCTTACGTAGTTGGCTTCTTTGCAAGGGAAAAAGGTCTCAGAGATAGAAGCGTTGAAGCATCAGTTCGAGAGTCTTCACGTAAGACGAGATCTAATAAAGACATAGGAAGCCCAATACTCAAAAGAAGAGAAGAGAGATGCATGCGTAGGAGGCTAGTTCTGTCTCACGTAGTTGGCTTCTTTGCAAGGGAAAAAACTATTGGAAAACTACAAGTTACTACTTATCGAGTTGTTTCATTGTGTCGTGTAAATGATCTCTTCACAATCCTATGCTAGCCMRAACGTGACAAAACTTCAAGTTGCATTTTTTCATGATCAAGCAGTACTTTTTATACATCAAGTCAGTTGATTTTCATTACACCAAGACCCTTGTGTTCTATGTCTAGTCATTTGTTTCGCTTGTCTAGTCATTTCTTTTTGATATCAAGTGCAATGTTTAAGTTGACAAGCAGCCATCGCAATCAAGTCATTCAGGTCTTTGCGATTTGAGTAGATATGAAGTACCAATTCTACGCCATGTGGATCGTGGATCATGTGGATCGTGGATCAACCCCCCACCCCCATCAGGGTTTTTACAGAGGTGACGTAACGGCTATTCTAAGTGAGGTTCCAGTGAGGTAGGGGGAGGGGTGATCTACATCCAACCATCATGGGAAGACCGGCCGACC